GGCAGTCCTGTTGTTAACTGGCGATGGAAAATAAATTTACTCCAATACTTTGGATTGCTGGAAATCAAATTTATGTTATGTGACCAAAACGAGACTGCTGTAAAAGTAAGATGTGAAACGACAAGACAAATGGTATGAGTTCGCGTGTAAAATGTTTTGCCTGTTAATGTTATGTTTACGAAATATCATCCCGCGATATATTTTACTCTAGCATACTTATTCTTGTTTCAAGGTAACAAGCGCCAAGTAAGCACGAAACTGGCGAGTGTTTAATGCGAGTTTAATTAGTTAAATACGTAGTTCTGCAGTGTCCTAGAATTGCCGACTTTGGTTGTAAAGCAACACCCTATGAGGAGGAATTTTGCACTCCTTTTCCCCATATTTTATGTGAATTTTTCACTCCTGCCTGACATTGTCTAATCGCACATGCCAAACCCCTATTTCCCTTTCTGAGGTTCTTAGGTGTCATCCAAAACCGAGCTCACTTGAAACCACCAAGCATAAACGAGGCTCCGCAGAACCTGGACACCTATGGCTTTGTCCTGGCTCACCTACATCTGAATCATGTCTATGTATGCACAGAGCAAGGGCGCCAGGTACTTTCAAGCCCAAGAACCTCAGCGACCCCAGCCGCTTGCACGCATTAAGTTTGGCTTGTTTACAAAATGCATCACAATCTGCAGCTTTGTGCCAAATGCAAAGTTTTCACGCATCCCCTATTTTTTTGGTCTCACGACCACACTACGAAAGCAGAGCCTGGCGCAAACACCAGCAAGGCCTGGTAGATAATTTTACCCCACGTGTTTCTTTTTTAGAGGAAACTTGACCACCAAATTGTATCACTCCCGAAATACATGAGTGAAAAGTTCAAGGAATGTCTTCTAAATTAAATTTACGAGATGAATATCGCCATTTGAGTACTTATATTAACATATTTTAAGTCAGATTAGCCGATAACAAAATTTTGTGAGAAAGTACCGGCCTTTATATTTATTAAGCTACCTTTTTTCTTGATACCATACCAGTGTGATATCACTTTATTTTTTCCTCCTTTTTGATTGTCTTCAGAGGCACCATCTGCCGCTTAAAATTTTGACCGATTTCTCTACAAGATGCTCCAACTGCAAACTTGTACGCATTGCATACATAAATTGGATTAATTCGTCAGCCGCCCAAACATGTTTGATATGCACCCAAGCGTGAACAATTCACAGGGAATGAAGGAGACAATTTGAAGCACGGCACTTATTTTCACCGCCATTTTTGCCCTCTTAAACCTTCGGTTAGCCGTTTTCTTGGTTCATGGCGGTGCTCAATAATGATAAATCTAAGCCTTTCGAGTGTGACTTGCCAGGCTACCTGGCAAGGCTATTATAATGCTGGCATATAGAGCCATGGGACAGACCTGACGCAGCTAATACAAAGTGTTTGATGGCGAAATTCTGCTCTCCGGAGGTGTTGATCATGCACACCTGTTACTTGTTTGGCATTTTGATCTCGAAGGTTGGTGGGCATGATTGATGTTTATATTTAACGGTGAGTCGGATGACACTGTCTGCTAACAGACCATGCAAAAGGTATTGAATTTTCGTTTTGGGGGGAGCAGGAAGAAGCCAGTAAGTCTCCTGTGGACCAAGTAATTGCGTACCTTGCCTGTTTCCAACACTTGATTGGCAACCAGAGTTAGCCATTTTCTGTTTTAATGCATCGATTTTGCCATGAGATAAATTATGATGCCACAAGGCATGCAGCGGGCTGATTTTGTTCCATATTCTTGGTTATTTGCCCTAAGTTTCTTAAAGTGGTCCCTCATGGCTGCTTTAACCAGATGTCTTCTATAGTCGCCATGGTTTGCTGACCGGCAAATGACTGTACTGTATATATGCACTATATTTTTAGCACAGTAATACTCTAAGCTGCATAGCAATTATAATGTGAGTTAAATATTGGTGTGTAACATATAATCAGACCACCCCATTTAAAATGTGAAGCCAACATCTCGAGCTTTGTCATTAAATATGAATAAACAGCCTAAATGGATGCATTTGCTGCAACCGAAAAGGCAAGCAGTAATATTGGCATGGTCATCTAAAAGTTGCATTATTCTTGGAGAAGAGAGATTGTTTTGTGGAGCATGCCCATTATTGCCCTTGACATAGGTTAACCATGACAATCAAAATAAGTTGTTCAAAGTGATTGAAAGTGCTTTGATTCGTGTGTTGTCAACTTTTTCTTATGTCAGCAAGCATACACAAATGAACTGAATAAAAGTGCAAGATGAAACCAGCAAAAAACTAGCTTTAGATAACATGTTTTTATCGCAAGTGCTGCTGTCAACAGATAGGTGAGCTGAGATGACGTTCATCATACGGGCTACTCTAAGTTAGGTTAAGTTGGTCAAGTGCATGGCAAGTGGCAATAGGAACTGTGCAAGAATCGGCAACTCACAACTGCTGCTGTGATACAAACAGGCTATACAGGATGAGATGATGTAAGGCCTCTTTAGGTTAGGCATAGGCTACTTTCATGAAAATAAACATTGGTATTTTGTAAGAAACAGTGGCAAAATGTCTGTTTTCCCTGACCCCATCTTAACAGAAGCCAGAAGTATATCTATCGTGTTTTATGCTCGTTGAATTTTCTGTTGTTATTTTGTTATTGAATTCCTTTGCTTTGTTTTGTTTTAAAAGTGCTGTGGAAGGGAATTGAAAAGCGCAGTGTCAAATTATTGGTTGTAATAATTTGTTATGCTCATAATACTGTCATGAAATTACTATGCTTTAACACGCGCCCGATTGGCCGACTAGATACCCTTCGCTCGGGTGGGGGGGGGGGGGGGGCAATTCGAAGGGAGGGGGGCAGTTTGACTCCCCCCTCTGAGATCTCGGGAACTAAGAAAACTAGAGACACCAAATTTACAGGATGTCTTGACCTATACTTGAACTCACTTAGGTTAAGGTTTCAGCTTCCTAGGTCATGACCTTCAGGTCGAATAAGGTCAAAAATGTCAAATTCCAGGTTGGTCTCCAAAGCGCCCCCAGAACCTAGGCAACTGTCTCTAAGCAAACGGTCACAAGCCCATTTGAGGTCGTTGACCTTGTTTGACCCTTTGAAGGTCATGGTGACCAAAGTGATACAAGACTGCTCTGTGTTTTGCATTTGAATAAGCGACAAATATTACGCTAGGCGGTATGTTCCTAAAGCAAAACGTTCCACCGGGGTCGTCTTAGGTCAATGGCCTGTTCTTTCCTCTAAGAAGTCAATTGAAGATGTACAATGTGGTTCCTGCTGTCAATGAATTTAAAATGAGCACCAGAAACTATCTCATACAGCAAGCCCTAGAGTCATAAATCGGGTTGGTTTTGACCTTGGTCTGACCTTCATACCTGACCTTAGGTCAACGTAATTTGTTCATTCAATATCTTTGGTGTCTAAGAAAGCATCTCAGAGATGTATGTCTTCGTCAAACACTTCGTTGTTGTATCAGATTGAACGATTCCCTAGAAATTGCCTTCGCTGAAGCCATGGGCTGAATTTGACCTGTCATAGGTCAGCGACCTTGCAAGGTACATGTAAAATTCATATGTCAAACGATCCGCTATGAATTTTTCCACAGCTATGCAAAATTTGGTGCGGCTACGCAGTGCCGTTCAGAAACCATTCGGGAAAAGTCCTCTGGGATTAATGTGCCCCCCTCACCCGAGCGCGTGTTAATGTATTCTGTTTCGCTTTCATGGCCTAAGATGTTAAAAACGAAATAATTTTATCAGGTTCCTGATGATACGTCCATGCCAACTTGAAATATATGTCTCTGTTTGCTGAAGCACCAGTCACGAGCTCATAAGTTCCATCTTTTGTGAATTGATTTTGCTCACTCCCGCACGGTGTTATTGGGATAGAATTTTTCACTCCCACCCTAGTTCAAAAGCGATTCTAGTTCCCTGTAGTTCTGTGAGCAATCTCGAAGTGACTTGTACATTGCACTTAAAAGTCATGATCTTGAATCATGCATGCAAGATGTATATTTTACAGGTGGCATTCCCTTTGTTATGAAGCACATTGTAGCACCGACACATTTAAGCCACAACGTTAATACGCCATGAGGCGGCGCGCCATTTTTGCCTCCGCCCACCCGCGAAAATGGGTGTGGTCTATTTTGAGCGTGCGAGTGTGGGCGATTGTGGTATGGACGGTTGCATGGGCTCTTGTTGGTGTAACCCATGCACTGGGATGTGGCCAAGTTGCAGCTGGCACGCACTAGGCTAGCGCATTACATGCTTAGCGCATGCCAAGTATTTTAGGGTGGATTCACAGCCCGGATGCTGGAGGTTGTGAGGGGCATTGTAATGCTTTTATTTCCATTCACTTTCGACTGGAGAGCAAGTAACATAATTATTGTCACATGATAATGTTATGAATCTATATCATCGATGTATATTTCCAAATGGATGTTGCTTTTTGTGCATCACCAACTACTGCCGTAAGCTGTGCCGGCCTGGCTTGTGTCGGTGGTCTGTACTTACTTTGGCAATGTGCATAGCGATTTTGTTGGAAGCCTTTGCAAATCTATTGAACCCATGACACGTCTTGTGAGCCTAGCCTGAATTCTGCTGCATGGATCCTGCAAAAAATTCACAGCTAACATGCCACGGTTTTTAAATGCGTTATGGAACACAAAGTGCTGCTTCACAAAGGCTGCAATTTTCTGGCATGGAAAGCTATTTTTGGAAGCACGACTTTTTAATTTGATTTATTTCGGAGGTGAATCACGGGAAAAGAAAAGAAAATCCCAGGATTCATTTTTGAGTCTGAGGAACGAATTCTCGAAATGATACGAATTAAGGGCTGATTCATGTAAATCTTACATGAATTACGAGTCTATTTTGATCTTGAATCGAATCGAGCAGAAGTCTGACGCTGCCCAAATTGCGGATACAGGTGTGGCAATTTGCTGATGCCGAGAACGCCGCCACCTCCTATGTCGTGAGAATGCACAGGTCATGGGGAACGGCATCAGCCACCTCCCACACCCACCCAAGCTCCGTCGCGTGGAAGCCGGCGCCTCCGTTGGCATCGGCCAGGTGCCTCTGGCACCGGAGCTCTCTGACCCGTCCTCCAGCACTGCCCTGCAGCGAACGGTGCGGCTGCCGTCGGCCGTCAGCAGCAGCTCCAAGTTTTCTGCGCCTTGGGCGGGCGCGGGTCGTGACCCCGTCCTGGCGGAGAAGGGGGGGGGGGGGGCGGGGGGCGCGGTGGCAGCGTGACACGCGCGGCGGCGCGCGGTCCCGGCCGCGACGCTGATTGGTCGCGGGCCTCTGGCGTCCGGTCGTCCGAAGAAAAGTCTGCAGACTGCCCGGCTCTCCTGCAATTCACACGCGGATCCGGGCAGGGGCTGATTGGTGCTCCAGCATGCTCTGCCTGTCGGTTCTGTTGTTATGCTGCGTCGGCCGCGCTGTCGCCGCCCCCACTTTCGGCGTGCAGCCCGACTACGAAGCGGCCATCCTGTCTCTAGGAGAGTTGCACCATCAAGGCGGCCCCGCTAGACGGAGGACGGAAGAGACATCTGAGCTTCAGCAGAGGTGAGAGCACGCTCGCTTCTGGACGGCGCGCTGGGTGTCCGCGACAGCCAGAGTGGCTGACGATAATGCGATCATAGTATGAGAGGGAGGGAGAGAGAGGGAGAGGGAAAGGGAAAGGGAGAGGGAGAGAGAAAAAGAGAGAGTGAGGGAGAGAAAGAGAGAGGAGGAGAGAGAAAGAGAGAGGAAGAGAGAGAAAGAGAGAGGAAGAGAGAGAAAGAGAGAGGGAGAGAAAGAGAGGGAGAGAGGGAAAGAGAGAGAGAGAGAGAGAGAGAGAGAGAGAGAGAGAGAGAGAGAGAGAGAGAGAGAGAGAGAGAGAGAGAGAGAGAGAGAGAGAGAGAGAGAGAGAGAGAGAGAGAGAGAGAGAGAGAGAGAGAGAAAAGAAAGAGATGCGTGGGCATGACCTGCATCTCCACCCGTCCCAGTGTTTGCTGAACATGCCTTGCCTTGCCATCCGAGACTAGGACTCCATGCGAGCTCCACGCACTACAGGAGCGCACCGGACATTCTCTCCAGAAATAACCGCTCGAAATTCCTGCGCCGCGCCTCCTGCAATCGGAGACCTTAGCAACTTTTATCTCTCGCACTGGACCCAGGCCGGTCGATGTTCTGAATAGTTTTGCTTAGAAACCCCGTTATATCCTTAAAACGTGACATACTATTCGGTATGCCCGAAGTTTGTGATTATTGACGTTATCGGACGGCGCGATGGTTGTGAAATTGCGTTTTTGGTGTCCACCTGATCATTTCCAGTTCTCATATCGAAGAAAGCTGACCTTGAATGTACCGTTGTTTTCAAGGCAGACCTCACTAGCGAAAGATCAGAAGCTTGAGCGCTTTCTAGCCTGCATCAAGTCGGTCTGACCTTACCATGCGGGTGCAGTTTGGGGCACGTGTTCGGTGTCACTTCTTGAGAATGCTCGAGAAGCCCTTGTTAGACTGGTCACGGTGCGACTTGAAGTGACAATGCTGGGATGCCCACACGGCATAGCAGCGTTAACGTATTGTTAACAGAAGCCGTATCACAAATATGCTAAGTGGTGAAACCTAGGAGTTGAATGTTTACGTATGAAACAACATGATGAACTTACTAATGGCTCCTATCGTGTCAACAGTTGTGCTGGTGAATGGCAGGCAAACACAAGGTGTCGTCTGTCGTCTATTAAATTTTAATTCACGACTCCAAAAATGTCATGGACTTCCCTGGAGGTGACGACTTCCGGAGACCTTTGTCACCGCGGGGCCCCGGAACCCGACAAGCATCTCAGGCTTGGGCCACGAGAGGTCTAATTAAAGCTGCAAAATGTCGTGCACGGCGCTTATCGTCAGACTGGTTTAGGAAAGCCTGAAGATATACAATCCAGTAATGGTACGCAGTGGCTGATGTGAGCTGCCATCATGCTAGGCATATCTAGTTGACTGTTAGATCGAAAATATGGATAAGTGGTGAAAGCCATTGTTATAAAAAGGTTTAGTCCGCACCCTAAAAACTTTTTTGTGTGAAATACGTAGAAAACTTCGGTGTGCTATCCTGATTGATGTAATATTTGTTTCTTCTTCCAGTAATTTTCTGTTTACGCCTTAACACATCTGCACGTGTTTGGATCTTATAAAGGGTCAGTGGGAGATGGAT